CCGGTTCCCCCCCCCCCAGCCGGTCTCCCCGGCGGCAGCCCAGTGCAGGGTGCGTCTATTCCTGGGGCAGCCGCTGGGAAGGAGCCCTGCTGAGCACCTGCGGGAGATGTGCACCCCGCAGAGTGCCCCGTTTTCTGGCCACAGCGATCTGACCAAACTCGAGCTGTGCTGACAGCAAAGCCGGTCTGGAATAGCAGAAGCAAAGCACTGGAATCCAGCGAGTGCCTGATCCGTCTTCCTCCGTTTTAAGGGGAACTATTCCTGGGGCAGCCGCTGGGAAGGAGCCCTGCTGAGCACCTGCGGGAGATGTGCACCCCGCAGAGTGCCCCGTTTTCTGGCCACAGCGATCTGACCAAACTCGAGCTGTGCTGACAGCAAAGCCGGTCTGGAATAGCAGAAGCAAAGCACTGGAATCCAGCGAGTGCCTGATCCGTCTTCCTCCGTTTTAAGGGGAAAGTATTTTTTACCTCTCACCGCCTCCATGTGGGTGGAAGTTCCTTTCACACCACGTCCCAGACTTGGAGGATGCTGCCTTTTTCCCTCACTACCGTTATCCTAGAGGACTAAGCCTTAAAACCCATCCTCGGCCCATGGACTGGGTTACTGCACACGGCAGGGAACACTTACAATACCACTCCAGGCTGGAAGAGCAAATCCCCGGTGGGAACAAAGCCCGGCCTGGCCCATCAGCACCCAGAGTCCCAGGCGAGCACGTTGCTGCAGCGAGCCCCGACGGCCAAGTCGTTAGCCCGCTATTCCATAGTGCTGCCTGGCCTGGCTTCTCCCAGGCCCTGGACCCGAGGCTGCCAGCTGCTGGGATTCTTGAGTCTCTGCTCCGTGGTGGAATGTAGCGACACTGGCCCGCCCCGGAGCCTGTCCCTTCGTAACCGCTGTCCGTGGGGAGGCCTGGAAGGGCAGTGGGGTTTTTCTGGTTTTAGAGAAAGCACCGTTTACAGCCCTGCCTGAATCACTGTCTTTTATAAAGATTCTGCCTTCCCCTCCAGCCTTGAAGGCTGAGCTCCACAGGCTTGAAAGCTCCACGTAAACCAAACTCAGAAGAAACTTTGCACATATTTATATTTCTACTCGGACAGGGAGCGGTTCTGTAATTTATAATAAAGAAGCCTATTTTGTAATGAAAATCCCAGCTCTGGTTTCCTCTCTGGTCCTCCCCTCCCGCTCTGTCTGCCAGGCCTTAGTGAACCGCGCGTGCACCCCGGTAGCGCAGCCTCCCTCCGTGATTGCGGGGTCACGCGTGTCTGCGTTCGGTGCCGGGCCGGTCAGGTGGGAGATGGGGGGAGGAGGGGAGCGATTCCCGGGCGTGCGGCAGCGCCGTGTGGTATTGGCAGGGACCCCCAGCCGTGGAGACGCTGCTGTCACCGCTCCCCAGATCTTGCTGGCACGAAGTCCCTGCTGTTGCCAAGATGAGGCTGGCCTGGCGCTGCCAGGCTCCTCCTGGGTAGGCAGCATGGAAGCCGATGGCCTGGCTCTAAGCCGTGGGGTCCAACATGCCAGCCGCATGGGGCTATTTGGCCATCGGGGGTGGCTAGTTCGCCATGGGAGCTGCTCTCGCGGCTTCTGCTTCAGAACTGACTCTAAAGGCTCAGGGAGGTCCTGGGACAGCCCAGGGACCCCAGTAGGTCCCCTCGAGGGCTGAGAGGCAGGACCGAGCGCCCTGGGCTGCAGCCCCGAGCAGCTCGGTCTCAGGCGGCCTTAGCCACGGACTCCGATCCCGGCTGGCCCAGGAGCCTCTTTGGACCCGCCTGGGGGCGAGCCGGGCCCATGCTAGCTCCGCACTGCTCAAGCGCTTGGCAGGCGAGCGAGCCGCGCGAGTAGAAATGCCAAGGGGAGCCCCAGCGGGCAGGGGGCTCGCAAGCTGCGGTCTCTCTCCTGGGCCCCGTGCAACGGGGGGCAGGCCGACACGTGCTGGGGAGGAGGGGACGAAACCTGCCGAGAGAAGCCCCCTCCCAAACAAGCAGCAGCTGTTCTGGGCGGGAGCTGCAGCCCCGGCACAGGTCTGCCAGCTCAGGCAGAGGGCTGGCGGGGGCAGAGGAGTTAACCCCGGGGAGCGTTCCCACCCGGCAGGGGCAGCAGCTGCCTGCGCTCGGGGGCGGCCCAGGGCTGCCCGTCTCTGGGATCGGCCCCAGGGCGGCTGTGCCTGTCCCTGCTGTGTTCACAAGCTGCTCTCTCCGGCTCTGCCCCCTGAGAGGAAGGCCGGGGCCACCCGCGCCCCGGTGGGACCAGCCGGGCCCCCCTGCCATGCAGAGCCGCACTGGACGCCCAGCCAGGTCAGGCCGGAGGGCTCTGGTGGTGGGGGCAGTGACATGGGCAGGGCTGCTGGGGGTCTGGGACCCCCTGCCCCAGCTTGGGGGGA